AGGCAGCTGCACCCTGGTCCGACCATCACAAAGCAAGAGACCCAAGAACTAGAAAGGCGAGGCTCACCGAGCCATTTATCTCTCCGCCTTCAATTAACCCCACATGTGTTTATCAGCCAGGTTGGCACAATAAACTTTAACTATCCCAGACACCTCTCCCTAAATAAATGCTCAGTAAAAAGGGGGGTTGGACGGGGACAGATGACTCTTTAAGAGGAGCTCGCTGTTCTTCCACTTAACCCCAGACCACACCTGCTGCTGTCCATGTGATCCCAACTCAGAGTAGCACTGCCTCATGGGCCTGCGAGGCTGGCAGTCTTGCCAGGAGCAGACAGCCTCATCTTCCTCCCCTGGGGTGGCTGGCAGGCTTGAACGCTGACGTTTGGGTGCATAGCCCAATGCTCAACCCATTGTGCCACCAGGGTTCCTGCTTCCCCCTCAGCTGTGACTCTGTTGCACCTTCTTATCTGGTGGTTGGCCCCCTGGGTGTCTCTCAAATGGCATTGAGGGTGACAGTGGGTGTGTTCAGAGTGCTTATCACAAACACTATTTCAGCAGAGCTAATTCTGACTCCCTGGAGGACAGAGTGGGACCCCCCATCCAGGATTTCCAAGGCTTTAGGAGGATGGACTGCCATGTTGTTCTCCTGAGGAGTGGCTGTTGGGTTTGAACCGCTGACCTGTGGTTGGACACCGCTTGGGCTCCTTGAAGCGATTGCCCTGCATGCAGCTAGGCTCAGTCTTCAAAGGCCTTCCTGCCTGCAGAGAAAGCTCCTGCTAAGACGGTTGTCTCCAAGTCCTGGAGCTTGGTCGTTTTTGTGCATGGCTGGGGCATCGATTTTCAGAGCGAGGACACCAAACTAAGCTGTGCTGGGAGCACGCTGACCATTAATGGTCCTTCCATGATGAGCTCATCCCGCAAGCAATTAGCCAGTGCTTGATATGTGTGAGCTAATCGGGTAGTAAGCAGACTATTTATGTCTATTTGAAAGGCCTTATTCATCAAACCATCACTAGATAATGGTTTCCTGTAATTAGCACACAGGGCGACAATTAATCTGTTTCTCCGTAGCACGGAGCAAAATGATGGCTCTCTTCATGTTGTGTATTCGTCATGCTCCACAAAGACCGCATTCTGCATCCTGCTTGGAGGAGCGAGCAGCCGCTAAGATGCAGCTATTGGTCTCCGCCCAGCCAGAGGGAAGCGGACTGAAGGGAATAGAGAGGTCAGTGGAAGTGGCCAGTCCAGTCAACACAGGGACCAAATGACTCTGAGACCCGAAGAACCAGATGGTGCCCTGCTACCACGCCCCACTGCTCTGAAAGGGCTCCCAGGAGAAGGTTCTGGATCGAGTGGGAGGAACAGAGCTCACAACCATGACAGAAACCAGGCTGACTGATCCAATAGACACTGGTGGGGGCCCACCTGCCCCAAGACCATGCCCCTGAGTCACTCTTCAGGGCTGGAACGGAATCTTCTCTCGTGTCAGAATCATCAGCTCTCTGGGATCCCCAGAGGGTCAGGAAAGAGGAGGCGCAGGGAGGAAGCGGGACCAGTCAGGCCTTGGCGGGATGGATGAGCCAGACCATTAGAAATGCCTGGTTAGAGTGGGAGCAAAATGTGGACCGGAACTCCAAATCATAAAAGAGACCGAGCTCGCTGGCTGGACAGAGACCTGTGTCTGGGACCCCCTCGATTACAGCCCTGAGTCCCCTTGCTGGTGTGGAACTGAACCCACTCCTGAGGCTCAGTTTTTCAAACCAAGCAGAGACAGGTCCACAGGGGAACCGTACCTCCAGCGGGCAGCACATCTTAGGATGGTCACCTGTTTGAGCTCACAAGGAGGGCCTGGACCCCAAGCCAACCTTCAGAGGGTCTGGAAGGAAGGAGGGATGGAGAGGGGCCGCTCGGGGAGGAAGCGGGATGAGGGACTGCTGGTACCTTGTAGAGATGACAGTCCCTGATGGGAAGCCAAATGCACACGGACTGTGGAGTGGAGCACTGATCTGCTCTGTGACATCATTTCCTGTCCACTTGAGGGAAGGGGTGGAGTCTAGCTTGTCAATCAGGTCATAGCCAATGAGGCCTTGGTGTGGGTGTGGCCTTCTCCTGAGGATTCCGGGAACTCCTGGCTTCCTCCCTGGAGGCAGGACACACATTCTCCCTGCGAGACATTCCTGTTAACAGGCCATATGGAGTTAAGCTGATGGAGCCAGAGCCCTGGAGCTGGAGGAGCCACATGGAGACCCATGCCAGCACTGAGATGCTTCCACTGCCACTGGATCCACAAGACCTTCCACCCACTGGCCTGTGATCTTCCTGCATTCGGCATCATTGCATGTGTTGTGTGAGTCTGAAGAGGAATTTATGGACAAGTATCGGACATATGGGCTAATATTGGACTTAGGGACTTGATCTGGACTGGGCTGCATTTTCTCAATATATAATTGCTCTTTGATATCATATAAAGCTTTCTTGTACACATACGAATGTCCATGATTTTGTTTCTCTAGTCAACCCGGATTAATACACCCCGAATCCCAAGAAAAAGTGGTTTCAAAGGTGTTTTGTAAAGAATTAATTTTGTT